CCAATATACATGAACAAATTAAATGGGAAAATATTTGTTGTAAATGGATACTCAAAACTAGAAAGAAACAAGAGTTAAATATTTTGTGGTAGGCAGAATTCTAATGATATCTCTTTCAAGATTCCTAAGCCCTGGTTATTCAAACACTAAACTAGGTACTTCAGTGAAGGGACTTTGCAGATATAACTAAGGTTAGGGACCTTAAAGTAAGAAGATTATCCTGTGTTATTCAAATGGGCCAATCTAATCACTTGACCCCTTAAAAGTGGAGAAGTTTCTCCCATTAGAGTCAACAAAATGTAGCAAAAGAGAGAAGCAGAAGGGATGAGGCAGAGCCGAAGTCAGAGAGATGGGAAGCATGAAAAGGAATCAATTTGCTAGTGCTGGCTTTAAGGATGGAGGAAGGGGACTACACACCAAGAGCACAACTGGCCTCTAAAAGCTGAGAATGACACCAAATGACAGAAAGAAAATGGTCCTAAGGAAATAGGACCTTAGCCCTACAACTGCATGGGGTTGAACCTGAATGTATCTGAAAGTGGATTCTACACAGAGCCTCCCAATAAAAGCTCCAATGGCAAACACAGATTTAGCCTTGTGAGACTTAAAGCAGAGAAACCTGGAGAGCCCACTGGATTTCTGACCTACAAAAGATAATAAATGGGTCTTGTTTAAAACAGATACATTTGTGGGAGCAATAGAAAATGAATTCATATATCCTTATGTCTTTCTTTGCCTTTAGACACAGACTTTACAAGACCGATTGAGCTATGGCAACAAGGTGCATAGATAGGAGGGGATGATACCATGGATAAGAGAGGTAAGGATTACAAAACTAGAAAAGTTGCATCGCTCAAAAAAAAAAAAACCTTTTTGATGGAGAAGTTTTAAGGGTTTCTGGTTTCTGTAGTTATCACAGCACCTTATGGAAACATAGCTTTTTTTATTCTCAATGCCTCAATATACATAACATAACATCCTGCTCATAATAGTTTTTTTTTTTAAGCCAAAATTAAACCG